CAGATTAATCTTGGTTTCCCTCTATGTCGTTGCCTAGCAACGGCAGTGTCTGCAGAGCCGTTCCTTAGTAACGGCTCTCTGCTGGTTTCACAGTTCTTCCTTGCATAAATATGCCACAGTACCTAAAGCTCTCCATTTGCTTCATCTCACGATTATGACAGTTCCCCTGCCCTTGGGCTTGTTATGATACCCACACACTTATCCAAACTGACATTCTATCCGAAGTCTTGACATAATGCAATGAAGGTAAAGTTGTCCATGTACTTAATTATTGAAGATGTATGGGGGAGTGAAGGAATAGCTCCATTATTCTTGACCTCAACCCTACATAACACAGCAAGGCAATAAAATTTTGCTCCTAAACTCGATGTTTTCTGACCAACATCCTTAATACTACATGTCAAATCAATTTCGTCCTGCAAGATCCCACGGCCGCAACAACACCTGATACTGAAGATCCTCATTAAGCAGTCTCTTCCTCCTCTCATAAATCTCCCTTCTTTATCCAAATTCTCACCACAGTGCTTCATTCAAATTGAATTCGCCATTTTGGCAACACTAACCATAAGCACTAACTGTGTGATGTGGCCAACATCAGCTCTAATAACCTGTCAGTGTCAGTGAGGGGGCAGTGTGTCCCTCAGAGCACACAGAAAGAGATCAAGGTAAACAACACACTACATGGAGAAGGGCATTAGCTCAAATGAGCCGGCAAGGTGATGCTGCGTGGGGTGGCAGATGGTTATCGGAAGTGAACTGATATTGAAACATGTTAATACAAGGAAGTGCAACAATGAGTTGTTCAGGGCTGCAACTCTGTTGGCTGGGCTCAATGCTACTAGGGTAGCACAGCATCATGTCAACATTTTCATTAAAGACATTGCTTTGCTTTATAATTTTGATGGCAACATATCAATTAAGTATTGCAAAAGGTTACTTTAGAGTGTCAAGATACGGCAAAAAAACTCACTTTCCACTCTTAATATCCCATGCTGAAGTTCAACAGAGAAGAACACTCATACAGTGACACTGAAATCACCAGTAAACAAAAAAACATTATAAAAGTTCCCATGGCAACACTCAATGTAAAACAGTGGGGCTACTGTTGGAAATGGTGTTTTCTGTAGGCTGGAAGAGCATTAGCACGTGCTCTAGGGATATGTAAAGTGTGGAAATCAGTGATGGTGCTATAATTAAGTGTAGTTACAAGTTGTGTGCTAAAGTGGTCATAAATCCAATCTCCAATCCAAGAACCATGTTGATGTCCACTCCTTATGACAATATGTACGAAGAACCATGTTGATGTCCACTCCTTATGACAATATGTACGTTCTCCAATGTGGTTTCATGTCCTATGTAACATATTCCTATTTATTTAAAGTAACTAACTACATGAGGCCAACATACACCACCAAATACTGTATTATTTTGATGCTGAATAAGCTTTCAATTAACAGGAGGCATATATGAGCAGAGTTTACTCAAACGGGTCTTCTCCTACTCACGGAGATGTTAATTTGAGCAGTTGTATCGCATTGTTGCCATCAAATTCCCCACAGAGACCCATCAAGAGTCCATTTGTGTTATTTCACTGGTTTCAGATTAGAGCTCTGAGACAGAAAGTTTACTGAACTGGTCCATACGGACATCTTTTGAAAAGGAAAGAAACTTTCCAAATTTCAATTAACTAAATCACATTCCATGATAAGTACTAACTCAGAGCTTAGACACAAGTGACTGAGCAGACCAGTAGCACGCTAAAACTGCAAACTTGCATTCACAGCTCAGCCAAGTTAGCACCTACTCTAAATCAAGTTTTCAATGGTTTGATATCAGTAACATAGCCCCGGGGATTTACTTCTACCAAACACGTTCTTCATAACGTCAGCTGAGAACAAGTGCTGAACTTGTCCTAGTAACATGACATGATTCGTGTCAGGCCTGCAAAGATTTCAGGCATCCACCTGAGTGATGGCTGGTGTGACATTAACCAACAGCTGCAAACTTGCAACTCTCCACACAAAACTTTGTGACATGCCAGACACCTTCACACTCCTCAAAGAGATCGCACATGACGTCTTAGAATGAAATTGATGGCCAACAGAACATGTTCAGTGACATTTTCACAATCTGTGCATAAAAATGCACTGAACTCATACAACTCTACACTGAGGAGAAATTCAGTTAAGATTCTGATCTTCAGGGCTGTGACACTGCAAAATTTTGTGGGCAGATACTGACGCTCACAGGGGAACATGTTGCCCCTGCCTTCATGGTTAAAGATGGGGGCAGCATCATTCTCCAGAACATTAGTGTCTGCCCACAAAATTACGCGGTGTCACAGTACAGAAGATCACAATCTTAACGATCGCTACAAATACTGTGTTTCTGGACATTATCCATCGTCCTGTTTTATCTAAAACAACACCTGCTTTTATTTAAAAACACGTTTCAGATACTGGATTCTGTCTTCATCTTCTGGTAAATGTACTCAGTTGGACCCGATCAACAGAGCTAGTCCCCATCTCTGGACCTCTACTGATTGGGCCCAATTGAGTAGGTTTTACCTGAAGATGGAGACAGAATCCAGTCTCCAAAATGTTTTGTTTTAAAGAAAAACAGGACGATGTGTAATGTCCAGAAACATAATATTTGTATTACTGTGGCATGGTTGCCAACTGTTAGATCTTACTAAAAATCACTGACACAAAAACTTCCAAACTTACACAGAAATTCAGTCTAGCATCTGACTTTTGGAGCTTTTGTGCCCTCTGTGTGCAACGTCATTCACCATTCTTTCGCTGTATTCCTTTCGGCAAAAACATGTAGTGTCCACGAAAGGAATATGAAGAAAGACTAGCGAACGATGTTGCACACAAACGGCACAAAAGCTCCAAATGTCAGATCTATACAGAGCAACAGGGTGCTGAAATGTAACATTATTCAGCATTGCATAGTGTTATTTAACAAAACTGAACCAATTGCTGAAGCTACAGACAAATAAATGCAAGATATATAGACAATTATAAGAAAATTTGATAGCAGTCATGGTGTACACTAGCCCCTTCAGGACCAATCCCTGAATTACACTGATCTGGCTTCTGTCCCTACTCAGCATATCCTGTAACTTGGCAGCACCATCTGGAATCATTTCTCACATATGTATGTCACATGTTTAGGGATACAAAATGGCATTTTAAGTTACAACAGAATGGGTACATAACTGATTATCCCAAGATATCCCCCGTGAGGCTAGTATTTCGATTTGTCATCTCCCAAATGTGAAAACACATTGGCAACCTTGGCATAACAAGCACTTAATGATGCTGGCGATACTGGGTGATTGTGGCATGGCCCTCAGTACACATTGAACACTGCTACATTTATGAAAAGGACATAGAGCACTATCTGTTAGTGACATTGTAAAATGCAAATATGCTGCCAACACCATCTGTTGCCCATACTGTCAACTAAATGAGAAATGATGAACCATGAAGCACAAGTTAAACTAAACAATGGGTTAAAACTTCAGTTCCTGTCTCATAGTAAACACACTTCAGCTCCATAAGAAAAACCAATTTGCTAACTGTATTTAGGGAAACAATCACTGCTTACTCTATGAATCATACAAAACATAAATACTCTGTGTGGGCAAAATGTAGAGTTTCTGAATGTTAAAACAGGTGTTACACGTATATAGTTAAGCATCAGTGGCTAATGCCTCAGTCACTGACACCATCATTTCTGTGGGCCGATGGAACTTTGACATGTGCTATGTTACACAATGGGGGCCCGAGGTGGGGTTAGCTGGGGAGGGTAATGTAACAGTAACTCTAGATCTGTGTTCAGAAAGTTCCTGGTGTGGCCATATTACTAAAGACACTGATGGTTTCACTCAGTCCCTCCTGGTGAGTAAATGAATGGACAGTACCTTCAAAAATGTTACATCTCCCCACTTTGAAATCTCTACCATTTTGTTCACCGCTGAAGTTTATTACAGCACATACAACGCCATGAAGATTGACGGACAGCCACAAACATTTCAGGGGAACCTGCTGCCTCCATCTTCAGAGACCATAACTGGACTTCTCTTTCACTACATCTCTACCAATTCCTTCCACACTCAGTTTATTCTCCGACCCTGAAGATGGACCCAACATGTTCCTTTGACACACTGGTAATGATTTACACAACTACACAACATCACATTCAAGAAGACGGAGATCTGCAAAGTCCTGAATACATTCACCAATCAGCTTCCTCAACTATTAATAAGAATAAGGCTACAGAATTCAAAACAGAGGATAGCCTGATTATAACGGAATGTTAAGAACTGTGAAATTCATTCAGAAACCAAAAAGTGTTATAAATATGCCGCTCCACAGACTGTACTTACATCAGAAATATGCAGCTCAGTGACCCAGGCTCAAAGCTCACATCCACAACATGACAAAACCCAGTGAGATCAAAAGAACAGAGCAATAATCTAGCAACCTCTTCCTGTATTACAAGAGTTGCCTAGAAAGAACATTTACAGTTAAGAAACATGACCCTGGTATTCTGATATGAACTGACTGAAGTACTAAAAACGTAGGAGACCTGAAAGGAGTCAACAGACTGAATACTCTTGACAAAAAGCTATCCATTGATACATCAGCTTCAATAACATTTATTCACTTTTCGTTTCGACGTGCTAGGAATTTCGGACGCAATAGGCTCCACAACAGATTTGGGAACACAGAATGAATAAATGAAACAACCATTTGATAATCTATGTTACTTCTATATCAAACTTGCACATAAACTGCTCTGAACGTAATACTGAGTGAAAGATGCAGTCCCAAATCCATTGCGTGCCTGTCAGTGCACGTAAATATTCCTTTCTACTTTTTTTGCACAGGGAAGTCTTAATACTTCTGCATATTCAATTTGTGGTATACCAGAATACAGCGACCGGCAAAAGAAAGTTCGCGAAAATGTTAGACTAAAACAGAACTCACAAATTAGTGTTCACCAATATTCTTTCGTGCCCATCTCAAGCAGTCTTCAAAGCATCAAGGAAAGCAGAGGCCGCAACACGCACAATTTACATTTCCACATTTAAAACTGTCATTTCTTTACGCAACGCACCACCGCTTATTTCGGCAAGGATCACTTTCCACGCGCCATAATAGCAACCAGGGTTCATATGTGACAGTCATTCTGCTTCACTTCCGCCGCTTCCGCCTATCATGGACTTGAATTTACGTATGTAACCATGCCTTTCATTCTAATCTGCAATGCCCAATCGATCGAATGCTATGTAGTCGGATGAACGATTAGTCGAATTAGATGTTATTATACTATACGTACCGTACGTGTCGATACTAACGTGGCACCGAATGGAGAAAGCGGGCTTTCGTAAGACCGCGTTAAACATTCATTTGAAATTCATGCTCAGAAAGACTGAAACCTTGGAACCTTGTATTATTTCGTACACAAACAGACACACTTTTAAAAAGAATGGCGCCAGTCCTCTTGACATGACAATGGGTGAGAGTGCTCTCTGAACAGAGCTGGCAGTGTATGACTGATTATACAATAGGAAACTTTTGTCGAAATATGAAATGAAAAGCCCTGTCCTCTGGGGTATAATGTCATGTTGTCCATTAAACGTCACCCAACATTTCCAGAGGTACATGTTGCCTTCATTTTCAGAGTCAGAGCACTGCTGTGAGACCTTCAGATCCAAAATAGAACTTTACCCCTATTTCATCCACAGTTACTCCATGAAAAGAGCTGCTGGTGTGATATACCAAAAAAACTTCTGTGTTTTATGTATGTAACTCATGAACCAGAATCCCTCTTGATAAGCTAACAGTTGCTCAGCTACTCTGGAAATTCCATGCCTCATGTGAAACAAGATTTATTTATTATCATGGTGGACTTTAGGTTCTCTCACAGCAATGTCTGTAAAGATATGGTCTTCTGGGGTTGTAATAACACTTAATCTGGTGACAGCATGATGTTTCAGAGGAGCATACTTCCCCCATTTTCAGGGTCAAGGAGTAAGTCAATGAAGAAACCAGCAGAAGGCATTGGCAAGAGCCTACCACTGGTCTCTGTCATGATGAATCCACTCCACACCCTAGCAAAGTACATTGTTAGATTACCATTCCATCTATACCTCAGTCTTCTTCAGGTTTTCTTATCAAAACTATCAATTCACTTTTTTCTTTCCCATGCACACCACCACATGTACCATTCATATACTCCTTAATTTGATCATCCTAGTAATGTTACAAGTTGTACAAACTGAAATTCCTGACTATGTAATTTTATTCCAGGCTCCTCTCATAACAGATTTGGCAACTTAATGCCTGTACAAACTACATCATCTCACTGGTGGCATTATTTTATCCAGTAGTATTATAATTCCACACTTTGTTTGCCTGTTCCCTCTAAGAGGTATAGTCATATGTTCCCATATGCAGTAATAACTTCAAATGCCAGCACATTAATGACCATCACCATTTAAATTGCTATGGTTGCTATGTATACAACATTCAACACCTCAGCATCCTGCTCAGAGTATCTAAGTGTTTTGTATGATTCTCACAATAAACAGAAATTACTTCCCTAAATAGCATTAACCAGCTGGTCCTTCATCTGTAGACCCTTTGTGTTTACTGTGAGGTACAAAGATAGTCTCGTCAGAAGGGTGCATGGGCAAAGCCTGTGGAGGTTCTAACAAAATTATGATCCCCCTTCTTCATATAAAATGTCTCTCACTTATGCCTTGACTTTCCTATCACCTGCTCTTCTATTACTATTCTCTCTCTCTCTCTCACTTCAAGGTTAACTTTCTCTTACATACATACATATACACACACACGCATTTCATTTCATAAGTCCAAACCAATGGACATGAAGGTCCTCATTAAAAAAAAAATAAACAAACACACAGATAACAGAATAATTAAAACTAATTTGATTTGTTTCATTCTTGTCGGTCACACTAACAATATTACAAATGATAAAACAATTCTGTCCAGTGTGACTGTTGAAGCTATCACTACTTCACTTCTTAGCACCTTAAGAGTAAAAACAACACAGCATGCTACGAACAAACATAGGACGATAACAAGAACTACCTTCCCAAGAAAGACAGGCGGCACAAGTTTGGCCCCGTCAAGAAAAACGAAAAGACAAGGGACATGAACCTATTCGGTTAAAGAATTTTAACTTAAATAACAAAAGTTAAAAAAAAACTTTAATGCATCAAGGACAGTTGCTATAGTTGTAAGAAATTTGGATTCTGTAAAAAGTGTATATTACAAATGTTGTATATTTATGTATTTTAAAAATCAAAACACCCAATGTAATAGTAGTTTCTAAAAGTATTGATGTTCCCTCCGATGATGGTCTATAAGGACCGAAACATGTTAGGGTGCTAAGAAGTGAAATAGTAAAAGCTTCAACATTCACACTGGACAAAATTGTGTTACCATTTGTAATAAAACTAACTGTTTATGTTATTAAGTATTTTGATAACTCTTTTGTTTTTAAGAAGCTTAATGTGGCCCAGAGCTACATAGATTCTGAATATTGCCCAAGAATACATTCACTGGTGCAGCACGCATGGCACAGCTCATGTATACATGCATATGGGAAAGACTAACAAATCAAAACCTGATCCAGGAGGAAATTAAGAGGAGACTGGACTCCGGTAATGCTTGCTACCGTTCAGTCCAGAACATTTTCTCTTCCTGTCTGCTGTCTAAAAACATAAATATTAGAATATACAAATCTATATTATAGTTAAGCATCCTGCTGCACTATATTAAAATCAAATTGACAAGCGTGTGTTGGCAAGATTTTAAAACAAAACTGACAGGCTGATGTTTTAGCTTTTGGACTGTTTGCAGTGTGACAGCTACGTAGTGAAAAATACACCTGATGGAGGCCAATTACGACCAAAACATGTAGTGTAGAGGAAGAAAAAAACAAAGATCTACAACCAAATAAATTGTTGCATTCATGACGGCATTTGTATTATTATATACAAATCTATAATTTTTCCTATGCTTGTGTATGGGTGTGAAACTTGGTCTCTGACACTAATAAAGGAACACAGACTGAGGGTGTGTGAGAACAGAGTGTTGAAGAGACTATTTGGACCGAAGAGAGCTGAAGTGACAAGAGGTTGGAGAAAACTGTATAATGAGGAGCTTCATAACTTGTACTCTCCTCCAAGTATAATTAGAATGATCAAGTCAAGGAGGATGAGAGGGGCAGGGCATGTAGCACGAATGGGGAGAAAAGGAATTCATATAGAATACTGGTGGGGAAGCCGGAAGGAAGGAGACCACTGGGAAGACTAAAACATAGATGGACGGACAATATTAGAATGTATCTTAGAGATACAGGATGGGATGGTATGGACTGGATCAATCTGGCTCAGGAGAGGGACAAGTGGAGGGCTCTTGTGAACACTGTAATGAACCTTCGGGTTCCATAAAATGCTGGGAAATTCTTGAGTAGCTGCAGAATTGGTGGCTTCTCAAGAAGGGCTCAGCTCCATGAGTGAGTGAGTACATGTGGTTGAGGGAATGTTTTCTATCACAGAAGCTTAAATTTCATCAAAGCCACTACACACATCCACCACTGCAACCAGTCCTGCATCAGTACAGTCAAATTCACATACATTTATTCCCTCCTAATGCATCTAGTATGCATCATCTATTTCAAGCACACAAGTTTCTTGAACATTACTGTCCTGAGATATGATGCCATGCAATCTGGTAGATGATTAGAAGTGTTCCCAAGAAATCTGGTGCTCCTGTCTTCACCATTAAAAGTGAGCCTAGGAGGAAAACGATGGTCATACAAGGAAGGGATGATTGAACCAGTATGTGTGGCATCAAAAATTGCCCTTTCCAGCCACCGCCTAAGCACCTCAAATTTCTCATTTCTTATATGACGCATTTTTTTTTCTTGGCACGACAGCCCCAGTGGGCCTAGGCCTACCTCCATGAACTTCTCCGTTCACTTCGGTTTTTCTAGATCTTACACATATGGTAGGACTCCTTGGGCGAGTGATCAGCTCGTCGCAACGCCTCTACCTATAGACAAACACAGAAAAATACACACAAACATCCATGCCTTGAGTGGGATTCGAACCCACGATCCCAGCTTCCGAGCGAGCAAAGACAGAGCATGCCTTAGACCGTTTGGCTACCGTGACCGGCTGGTGCATATTTAGCAAACCAAAAGAAAGCATAACACCTGCCTCTAAACACAGTATGTGTGTTACACCTCTGAACAAAACACTGCATCTGGAATAAACAACATCAAGACCACTGAGAGAAGGAAAATCGGTAAGATAACATTTGCAAAATATACATATAGCAATGATCAGTTAATGTAAGGTTACATTACTAAAAATGGCAACATTAAGTGTTACAGCTATTTCCATAAGAATTAACAGAAATAGCTGAGACATGTTTTGCAACTCTAGTATTGCATAACCTATTAAATATATAATTTAATGAATACTAAATTGAGGAAAGTAATGAAGATGTAACTTTTATTTATATACTAGAGTAACACGCGTTGATAATTCAACAGGAAGTCTCCTCATTTGTTACACAAATCTGTGTACTGTTAACAACCCTACTTTTCTCCCATACCCCTTCCGGCCCTACATCACGCTGAAGGATACACTGAGGTCAACTTTTCTCCATGAATAACACACAGAAATAGTCATATACCACCTCCTTTATACAAGGTGCATTACACTTCACATTTCTGCATCAAAATATTATCAGCAGTCACAGAACCGACACCGTACACTGAGAAAAGAAACTGCTTGGTCATTTGAGACTTTCATTCATGCTAAATGTTCACGCTCAACAGTTCATGCCTATGCAAACTGAAATTGCATAATGACAATCACAAATCTCGTGCTTACAAAACCTTTTATTATGTAGAAGGAGACATGTAAGAATATTACAGAGCAACACAAAGCCTCACATCACTGAATAACTGAAATGAGAATGTACAGTCCAGGCACAGCTTTGCGGATGTTTCAGGAACTAAAACAGCATTACAAAACCTTGTCAATGATGTTGAACTGACTGAAAAACAGTCCAAAATTATCCAACACGGTTAACCAATGCAATGTTGAGTCATCACTACCTGTATTCAAAACTGAAGTACAGTTCATTTAATGTACTTTCGTTTAAACTTTCCTGTCATATAAAGTTCAATTTCAGTGATCCCAAGCCAATAACCTCAGTATTACATTTCCTCCATTTAAGACTTTCCTTATTATAGTGTTCAGATCCATTGGTCCCCAAAGAAACCTTAAATGGGGGTTGCACTATCATCACATTGCTGTTAAGCATATGGCAGGTAAAATATCTGTTATATGAGCTCCAAATGAATCTACATTCAGGCACATAACTTCAGCTTTGTACACCAATCAAACACAAGAAATGAACAAGAAAATATATTGATAACCATTTTAATATATTTTATTTGCAGCAGGTATAAATATATTACATAACAAGCTCTAAACTAGGCAGCATACCAACCACCCCAATACATTTGATTCTAGAAATGTACACACCCTATTCCAACCATAGGAACATTCAGTTTTGTCACGTTGGCACAGATACAAATTAATCACTTCTCTTCATAATCTGCATGTTCATTGTGCGAAAGTCTGTGCAAGACATGCAACTCGTAGTATATCTCTCAACTAGGACTGACTTTACACTGTATCTTAGAAATGTTTCAGTGTATTCTGCTCAGTTTCTGTGTTGTTTCTGGTTTCAAGATCTCACAATTTTACCTCCATGGTGTGGGGGTCAGTCTGCTCACAGCAACATGTAAGAGAACTGGGTGTAGTGAGCTTCAGAGACTTCACGAACATCAAAACTTGTCAGTTGTAAACCTTAGCTCAGGCACTTAAGTCACTGACTTTTCGCCACAGAGACTCGGGTTCAATCCCAGGGCAGTTCATGTGAGAACTGTGGTAAACAAGGTATCAACAGGCCAGGTTTTTCTCCAAGTACTTCAGCTTTCCCCTGCAAATTGCCTTTTCACCAATGTTCCATACTCATCTACTAGCAAGGGCTGATATAAAAGGCATATTTTGGGGTGCAGTACTCAACCCCATGCCCATAATTTGTTGTAAAGTTCAAGGCAGAATTACTTAAACATAATGCCCAGCCAAAATTATTTCAGAAGAACACTGTCTAAGGTTGAAGTGTGTACAGCAAACAGCTGGTCCAGTCACTTAGCCAGGATTCAAGAACGTGGTCACTCAGACCTACAGGGCCTGATGCAAACCAACTGGAACAAATGAGAACATCCTGCCCACTCTACCTACGCACCTGGGCTGGACTCCACTGTTTTTCACCCTCCTAATTACCTTGCTGACACCCCTCCCTTGCAACATGCTTACATAATAAAACTATTTCCTTGCCCTATGGACTACAAGCCTGAAGACAAAAGAAATAGATTGATCTGAAACATTGGTATCTGTCTACGAGACTATACGGTGTCACAACCCACAAGATCACAGCCTGAACTCATCTTTAATGTATCCCACTGCACTTCCATGGTCTTACATTCCCCAGTCCTCTCCTCCCCCTGCAAGAGGCCACCACAAAGTACAGAGCCAGTATAGTCCTTTGTGAACCAAGGAACAAGAGTACCAGATTCACTGTACATGAGCAACAACGAATGCCATCATGTGATTTTGTCAATGCTAATAGAGAAGTATCCCAAGAAACAACAGATGACAATCTTATAAACAGCATTCAGACATGTCTGTTCCTAGCAGCAATCTCATGCACTCACACTGTGTGACATACACCCTAGAAACTAACAAATTACTGTTACATAATTACAAAATATAAAATGTTAGTAACTACAACACACCTTGTAAGACACCCTGGCCCCCAGCCGAAGCAATGAATGCCTATGTAGTTGTTATTATTATCACAGACTGTATGTCGATGTCAACATCCTTCTTGCTCAGGATCTTGACTAAGTATGGCTTACCACTTTACTCTATGTGGTAAAAAAGAGAATACAAAAATATTTCAGTTTTTAAAATGCCACTCTGGAATGTGAAGTTCCTGATTCCAGACTTATTACAATATCCCTCAGACTTCTTGCCCTTCACTTCCACAAATGTTACCCTTTAGCAGAAGGTCCTTATTCTTCAGGGCATGGTCCCAAGATTTCAGTACCATGGTCCTAACACTGCAGCATCATGGTGGCAATTCTTCAGTACTTTCATATTGTGGTCCAGACTCTTCACGGCTGAAGTACAGAACTACGGTTTCAAAGTCCAAAATCTTCACACATGATACCACGATTTCAGTACACCATGCCTCAATATAAACTTTCCAGTACCATGGTACCAGCTCCTGAATACCACGATCCAAATTTATTAGTATCATGCTACAAAATCTTAAACATGTCCCACGCTCTTAAGCGTATGGTACCGCGGTTTCAACACGTAGCACCATGGCATGGACTCTGCAACAATATGGTACTGTCTCCAGCCTCAGCCTTCGGTTTTGGCACTTGATACTGCACTTGTCTGTTAGCCCCAACTAAGCTCCATGTGTTAATGCTAAGCTAGTGAATGCTGTATCTGTGGTTCACACACTGCACTTAGGTGATTAATGTATTACAAGATACAAACCCTGTGCCACCATACAGCAAATATGCAACAGTTACTGGGGTAATAGCCCCACAGGAATGGACAACTACTTCTAGAAAATGGAAGGTCACTTGTTCAGTCTGTGTCGGACGGTGAGAGCAATGGGTCCATCTGGCAAACGTTTCATGAGGCCCCAAGCTTCAATTCTAGAGAGAACTGTGACATCTGAACCGTTCACATTGAGCAACTCATCGCCTGCCTGAAGCTGACCATTCTTCTCAGCAGAGCCACCTGTGGGAGACAAATGTGACAAGTGGAACAAAGGTCTAAATGTTCACCACTCTACAGTCTACATGTCCAGACAAACCACAGACATGGAGAAAACTGTGGGCCAACAAATATTGATATCAAATTACTATTATTCTGGACACTGTCCACTGTCTTCAGTTTCAAAACCTGTATCCATCATTAAGCAAATGGAAGGAAAGATTTTACACAGTTGGCCCCATTAGAAAGAGCTGGGGTCAGTCACTAGATCAAGGATTGTCCAGTGGTGGGGTGACTGAGTAGGAACCTTTCCCTCCACCCTTACACCTAATGACAGAACAGATCCAGTTCTGTGCATATAATTTTGAACTGTGCTCCATAAAATGTATCTAGCTTCATATCAGATGCATGAAAGAATGGAAGCATCTTCCATCGGCACAGATGCACCTGCGTTATACATAAACCTGCCTGAAGTGCAGCAATTATTCACATTTGCTGGTATTTCATTATATGATGGTTTCACCTGTTTAGCAGGCGCAGTCAAACCGCCACCATGAACTTCAAAACATGAATAAGTCTCCTGAAATTTTACTCTTCACTACCATAAATTCTGTTGAAACTCCAATGGGAAGTCAATAAAAACAAACTTAGACAAAACTATCTAACCTCAGTACCTTGAGAAGTTCCAGAAAGGAAGCACATTTATACTAAGATACTAAACTTCACAGAATAGAAACATCCTGCTCCTATAAACATGAAATGTTTTCACAGATAAACAAGCTTTGTGAGCAATACTTTACCTCTCCTTCTCTTCTAATGACAGCAGAGTATCAAAACTGTATTATCTACAAAAAATAATATCTTCGGGGCAATGCCATGTAGTTAGGTACAGGTTCACTGAGGATTCAGACAAACATGCTTGTCATTGCTTTTTGCTGGTTACTGACTTGGCTAACTTTATCAGACCTCAAGATTGACACAGTACGAGTATATACCTTTGAAACATCAGTGAACTTATATCGGACTACATAGTATTAAATCTCTGATGACAGTATTCTTCCCAGTTGCCGCTGTGGGAACCTCAAATCCAACATAAACTCAAAACAGAGACATTTATTTCAGTCACAACTTGACCACATGTAACAGTCAGGAGTGAGATGCAACATAAACACTTGACAGATACTATATAAATTTCAGTAACAACTATTACCTCCATACATGCCTTTCTTTTTTCATGTATACTTTGAAAACTTCCTTTGTATCAATTTGCAGCCACAGATTAATCTGAATGATCTCAAATGCACAAAATGGGCAGAATCTTAAAAATAAACAACTCCCATCTCAAGTAAGTTTTCAGAGACAACCCCTCCATTGGTCCATTCTCAATACATTAAATCATGATTCTGCTGAATATGGATGCTGTTAACAGAAACTTTATTTCAGCAAAGGTTGAGACTGCAATTTATATACTAACAACTCTGGCTGCTACGTTATAAAGAATTGTAAGCAATTATACATATCTATTATGGATGCACAGCTACCTGTGAATATCTTCTTTATGGTAAGGGGCTTGTCCCCCAGTGGAGAGTCCTTGCCTCCCTCGAGACTGAAACCCAAGCCAGCACCATCCTTTGTGAGCACGATGAGGTGTGGAGGTCCACGGTCCTCCCCTGGAGACAACACAATGATCAACATATCAGGCACCAGATATCTCTCTGACTTCACACTCCACACTGGTGATCTGGACGTGTCTGAAGAGGCATTTCCGTCTCTGTGCAGTTTGGATGAGCTGTCTCACAAAAGTGACACATGTTTCTTCTGCAGGATTTCTATCGAACTACACAGATAGGCTGTCAAGTGCCTCACAAATCCTTCATGAACCCTGTAAAGTGCAGTGGTAACTATGTGTACCACCTGTTTTAACATCAAAGAACTCTGCATTTTGCAGACACAGTGGACATACATATGTGTTCCGTGTAATTCTCAAAGTACACAGTGACAGTTTCTCCAAACAAAGTTACATAATCAGTTTTTGTTATGAATATACAATGTCATCTGGGGGCAGGAACTGAATACTTAAATACTGTATAAATCTCGGGCTTCAAAGGGTTAAAGAAGAGGACATTTTATGCTTGTTCCCTTGGTTGCTTCGGTTATGTGACAACTAAAAAAGACAAACAATGTATTAGTGTTTTCATGATCACTTGGGACGCAGGAGTTGTCTGGCGAAGAGCCAAAGGGTTAACTAACTGTACTGACAAAGCCTCATTCAGCCCAAGTCACCAACTCACACACTTTAACTAACTCCACTTCTGAGATTCCCATCATTTCAGAGCCTTGAACACTTCCATCTTCTGGTAGTTTGTTAGATTGTTACCAACGTCCTAGAGTACCCTGTTTCTTCCATCTTTAGAACACTATCCTGAAGACAGATGCAGCAGGTGTCTCCGAAACACAGATAACAATTCAACAGACTGCCCATTGCTACAGCCCATCACATTTTTCAGCAGTACCTGCAGCTGCAACCAGAGGGCTTGTTACTGTCTCCAAAGGCTGCTCAGGGATGCGAGGAGGGCGTGAAGGTCTCAGAATGTGTGTGGCAACAGAGCAGTCATCCGGCTGGGGACCGTCATGGTGTCCATCCTGTGGCACTCTGGACCGTGAAACAACCAGAACAACCTCCGATCGAGGGGCCTGCAAACATGGCAGCAGCACTTCATTACAAGAGGCCACAGAGTCTGAGTGGAAATCATTGCCCTATGCATCATGGTGGACTGATGTCACGAGTGGGCCACTGTAATTTACATTTATGAAATAAATCTGGTTCTTTGGGGCCTACTCAATGTTCACTGCCTGGCCAGGAAACTTTCATCATCCCTTTTCTACTTGGCACTAACTTTGCCGACAAGCAGCGGTTGGTCACTCAGTTGGTACAGTTCGCTTACAGACTAAAGCCACAGAGTTTCTTTGCTTGTTTGTTTTTTTTTTTCTGTTAGTCCAATGTGAGTATAGGCCACACACGTTTCACCAGGTCCCTACAGGTTGTATCCTGGGCCAGTACATTGGTCACCAAGAAACCAATAACCAACAGTGGCACCACTGAACTCACCACTTGTTAATACAGACAGCGACAATTAGAAATCCATTCCAGCTTGAAAAGACTGACTGCTCAAATAATCTCCACTATATTCATGTGCCACAAACCCTCTCAGTGTCTCACAAATGACTCCATGGTTAAGGGCGAGCACTGTCACTCTCTCTTCTCCTATGCTGAACAAAGTACAGTGTCTGGGTACCTTGAGGATGTTGAGTGACTCGCGATGAGTGACCCCCTTCATGCTACGTCCATTGATTGACAGGATGCGGTCACCCTTCTGAATGCGTCCATCCCTGTCTGCCGGACTGCCTGCCAACACCTTGTGGACCTGCAGCAAGCATCATTACAGCTCTAACCAACCACGTACCACTCAGCCAACCCATTTCATCTGACTCATCTACATAGGCAGCAGATCTGAGGAAAGCCACCAAAATATCCAGCCATCACAGCTGGCATCCTGCCAACTCAGCACCTCTGGAGTGACAGTCCAGAGCACTGCTGTCGTGACAACCTGTTCAGCATTCCTCCTTCTTTTGTTTTTACTTTAATAAAAACCTTTGCAGGAGGTTAACAATGCTTATCATGGGATGATGGGATGTTTTGGAGTAAGGAAAGCATAAAAACACTATAGAAACTGTATACATTAAACACTGAATGGTACAAGGCATATCGGCACTCCTACATACTGTTCGGTCAGATGCTGTGTTCATGATATTAAGTATCGTAATATGCCTTGATGGCTCACTTGCACAGAACCTAATCTTGTCATACAAGTTTTAATTTGAACTGTGTGGTGTGTTCTCACCACTGCAAGTATCCAGAGCAGTTTCGACTGGTACAAACTGAGCAATACCCCAGCAACACACCACATCACCTCACATGTCAACAGTTTCAACACACAGAAATTTCATACCGTAATCTCCTTGGCCTCGTAATCTGCCCCCCCTGCTAGAGTTATGCCAATGCTGCCGGTGGCACCCTCCCGATGCAGTAGCACCACTACCACATCATGTACTGGCATCGCCATGCAGCCAACAGAGTCCTCTAGGGGCTGGTTTGCCTCCTCGATCAACAACTGAAGTTCCTGCAATCAGCAAAAAGAAAGTCAGAAGAATAACAGACATCAGTATCCTCGAAGTCACAGAAATAGAGCCCTAAATGGGGAGGTCATGCACAGATGACACACCCTCCTTCACACCAGAACAAAGCTGCATCATCATCATCATCAGTAATCTGTCAGGGGAAAGCTGCATACCTGGGGGGAAATGAGACTCGTAGAACTGGCAATGGAGGTCACACTGCCAAACTGTTCACGATGCAGATTACCCACAGAGCCGTAGTGTGGCGTGAAACTATCCTCACTCGCTGTCGAGTCCAGGGATGAGACGCGGGCATGGTTCACCTTGCGTCCGCTGTTCGCCAGTGCCATCTCAGCCTTTTCAAATGCTTTCCTGATGTCATTGACACTGACAGAGCGCCTGCTATCTCCCAGCACCGAGTCCTTGCTGCGCTGCCGACGCATCTGGGGGCCCCGGCCCCCTGTCAGAACACTCAGAAGACTGGTCTCCTCCTCAGGGCCCACCTCCAGCAACTTGCGCTGTACAGGTTTTGGTGGCACAGGGACATGTCTGGGGGCAGGCATGGGCTTCACAGGTGATGGCTCCTCCAGTAACTTATCTGCTCCCTTTTCTTCGCCCTCATTGGCAGGTCCCTCCACCTCGTCCAGGTACGCAACATGCACATCCTCATCGAACTTCCTCTGTATCAGCGGGGACCCAACCTGCACATCATAGACACCAATGAATTCCTATAGTTAGCCTGCCTCTCTCCTACTTCAATACAAATTCTGCCAAAATACTAACAGTATGAAGCCTATACATAGCTTCCAGCGACACCTTCATGTTAACACCAACCAGACCATTTGGAGGTGCTGCAGCAAAACACAGGACACAGCAGTCTGGTCATTAAGACCATGCCTTATGAAGGCCAACAATCTTGCTGTCTGAGCAACCAGATAGTGATTTCTTTGATGTACATAGATCATTTGTTATATTCACTTAGCATTAGTGCACTGCTAAGTGCAAGCCAGTAGCACAGCTGCTGGGAGTGACCTTCTGGCAGTTTGGTAGGAACAAACACACTGCCTCCATCTTCAGAGAGGTGTATGCAGACAGCTGGTCTATTTAAACACCAATATCCTGAGGTTTTCCTCGCAAATGCCAGGACACTACTTCAATCAGGCCATTAACATTTCATTCAAAATCTTTTCACATTCAATATTCATCAATCATCCTACCATTAGGCACTACACAATCCAGAAACTTAGGCAGCCCATACACATATGAGTCTGGCTCGGCAAGGAGCCAAGCTCGGATTAATTTCACCACACAAGTATGAGCCTGGCAACCCACACATAGATGAGTTTGGCTCATTGGAATCCAAGCTGAGTTGGACTCGCGAGCCAGACTCGTACATGTATGGGCCCCCTTACAGTGGTGTAAAATAAAGCAAAAAAAGAAAGGAAGAATGCATGTAACATATTCCAGGAGACGACAATCTTAGCCAAATGCAAACCTGATGTAATGGAGGCCCCAGGGAAACCACAGTCTGGGAGGTAGGCAGGAGTGTATGACTGCCATCTACCTCCCCAATTTGTAACACTCCTGGACAGAGATACTGAAAGCTGGTTGCTAACAGTGAGAGACACACCTTGAGGTCCCGACCACTGCTGTAGCGAGCCGAAGACAGCACATTCTTGCGGTTGATGGCCTCCACGCTCTGTGCCTTCAGAACACGCCTGTTGCTGTCGCTGGACCCACACGTCAGGGTGGAAGCAGTGGATGACGCAGCAGATACAGTTGTCTCAGAGGACAGGGTGCGATGCAGGGGTGACAGCAACGCAGGGGGCGGGGGTGTGGGGGGAGGCGAGATGCTGGAACGACTTGAGCTCACAGCTGAGTCATTGTCACTGTCATCCTCCATGGAATGGCGTCCGGGTGCAATGGCACTCTTGCCTGTGGGCATCTTGTACTCAAAACTGAGGTCCGACCTGGGAACAGGACATCAGCATCAAGTTAACTTGTAACAGCTTCTGAACTTACGAAGGAGCAGAAGAACAAGAAGTAGGAACGAGAAATGGAGCAAGAAGACACAAGCCAGCTACCTCGTGGGAGATGCTATGCTCTCTATGGATGCCGGGGGCTCTGCAGAGTTCCTGAAGCTGGGACACGAGGGCCGCAGATCTTCCCGACTGGAGCCGGTGGACCCGTAAACTGTGAGGCTTTTCCTCTTGAAGGCTGGTGAGTACTTCGGAAGGTTGGTGGTACTGCTACTTGATTTCCAGGGTGGAGATGGAATCACCAGCTGGGGGGTGTTACTGACGGCGGTCTGCCCCGTGCTCCACTTATTGGTGCTGGCAGGCCTGTGGAGGACAACACAACAGAAGCATGCATCATCACATTCACATCTAGTTCTTCCAGGCTGTCTATTCCCTTCAGATTGCTATACCAAACTGTTGTATGCATTTCACCTCTTTACCATGCATACTACAGGTCCTGCCCAGCCGGATCTGGATGATGTTTGGGAGAGGAGAAGAGGGGTTGGGTGTGGGCTGTTTACTGATACTGTCACCGTCTTGGCTACACTGCACTGCATGGTGGCATGATTTGTGAATGAGTAATTTGAAAGGATTTGGAAAGAAGCGATCATAGCCCACCCGAGGTATTATACCAGCAGTTGCCTGAAGGGACTGTGGAAAACTAAGACAGCTGGTGACCCAGCACCTCCTGAACAGAAGTACAGAAAGTTACTGCTATGCATCACACAAATAAGGAGACTCTTTCCTATGTATTTACCTGCACCTTCTTCCCTCTAGGTCCAAATATTCTCCTTGGTGCCCTATTTTGAAACATGCCCTACATTCTCCCCTCAGGATGAACAACGGTTTCTCTTCACGACAGAAAGAATTGTACAGTTCAAGCAGGATCTTGCATTTCGTTTCCCTTGATCTATAAACACAGGCCAACACAACGCTCCATTTCCGTGGATGTTGCAGGATCAAAGAGAGGAGGAAATGTTGCGAGCCAGGAAGTAGGGGCCAGGAAAGTGTTGCAAATTGAGAGCCTCCTCTGAGTGAAACACTCTGTTTTAGGCACGAAATGACATCTTGAAGTAAATAGTAGCGAGCATTCCCCAAAGAGACAGTCCAAGTTCCTTCAGAATGACCAATCATGTAAGCTTCCAATACCCCACATACCTCTGAAGTTGGGTCGCCGGGGGTGCCTTGTTCGTGGTCAAGATAGAGTCCTTGCTTAGAATCTCAGGAAGGTCGCAGATGGTGTGGCTTGGTGCCACGACCTCGGAAACCTTCTCGGGAATGACAAGGCCCCGAAGCTTGCTGATGCCTCGCCTCCGCTGCTCGATGAGTGCGTTGAGGGATGCTTTGCGGACGTCCTCAGGTGCTCCACGACCGACATCGATCAGGGACTGGGAGCGTGTGTGCAGGCTGGCGGTGCGGCTCAGCGTGGATGGACGGACAGGGCCGTCACGAGCCGTGGGCTTCCGGGGCAGCGTGCTAAAGTGTGTCCTGCAACACACAATGATCCAGTGTCAACTTCTGAGGACACACAGGTGCGCTCACCTCACCCTGCCCTGTGAACACACACAGATGTACCCACCCTGGTGTGTGGTTCAGGTCCACCGAAGCGTGCGTACGGTCGAAGGGGGGTGGGGGTGTCTTCTTGGGGAGTGGTTCTGGCGGTGGAGGCCGCGAGTCAAGGAAGACATCCTCTGAGCTGCTGAAACGTCGTCGTGGCGTTGGCACTTCTCCCGCAGTCGAGAACATGGCAATCTTGTCCTTGACGCTGCATTCACTCTTCTCATCCTTGCGCCAGGCTGGGACTCGAACCGGTGACCGCAGTTCCTCAGTAGCAAACTTTCTTGTGGGTGGAGCCAACGGAGGGACTGGTGGGGGTGGCTTCTCCAGCTCCAGCTCTATCAGTGCTGGGCTGCCTACCGTGAAAGGATTATGTTCTGTGTAGTTGGGAGGGAATTCGTGTCCATCGGGGGGCAGGCGAGAGGCCGAACTGGCGAGGGGCGACTCCTCCATCGCTACAACACAACAACAAAGCAGGTTAGATCAGGGCGGAATCGACTGAGATCTGACGTCGGTTTTTTATTCCGAAAGTGTCCGTAACTCTTTTCCTGGAGTAAAGGTGACCGTAACGTGAAACTGATGGACACACCCATCCAGGGCTCAGGTCTAACATGCACGCTCCTCACTCGTCTTGTTAACATCTGAAGTCGAATACCGTTATTAAATAACATTCAATCAGTGAATGAAGATGTTGGAATATCGCCAGTTGATGACAGCATTCGAACCTCGACAACGAACTTGTTGAGTGCCAGGCCATGAACACACGCCCTCCGCTCTGGCGCTGCAAATTCCCGGCGGGGATCCTACAGCAGACCTCGACTCCGTGGCAACATAAATATCCGTGCCCCCGTCGTGAGTTTACTCCCGGTCGTCTCCATTCCGGCTGGAGGGGGGGGGTCACTCTGTATCGAAATTAACCAAAATTTGACCCCCCAAAACTTCCAGGCGGCCAAAACCAATTTTTTATTGAAATCCGTCGAGTAGTTTCGGGCATAAACTTCCCTTTACGGGTTTAACTTCATGGTGCTACTTCATGTCACGTATAGAGAACATACAAACGCCTGCAGACTGAGGGGAACGGGCAGGGGCAATAATACAAGCGATGTTTCCTGTGCGGTCCGTGTCGGGGATATATAACGAGGACAGGTTAAGAGAGAGGATTAAAGATTTAACCCCGTGTGGAGGCGGGGTCGAATACCTCCACCGTGACCCTGCGAGTCGTAGGAGGCGACGAAAAGGGAAGTCTCAAATCTGAGACAGTAAAATATGGTCGCAAGCCCCAAGGGACTTGGACCCAAGGCCCAGCAGCATATACAAAAGACAGACCCGTCCTCTCGTCAGAGAGGGCGCCCCACATAAGAAAGACCGTAACTGTCAAACGGTAATATTTAATATCTGGTCATGAGCCCCAAATGGGGCTCGACACCAAGGCTCACTGACTGACTGACCGTCAGTCGCAATGTGGCTTTGACTTTGATTAAGAGAGAGAGAGAGAGTTGAGATGGCCGCCAGCCTGCGAGGGCCGGGAGCAGATGTGACTGTCCGGAAACACTGTACGCTTTCCAAGGTAGCGTCGCCATGCAACTCTGAACTAAGCGGCCTGCTGCAGTCGGGATGAAGGAATGAACGGGAAATAGATCTGACTGTTCGTACTACGTAATTTAAATTACTTTTTTTCAAAAGTCCGGGGGGGGGGAGATACCAAAGTCACCCAAGCCCCTTCCCAAGAGGTACAGGGGCACGAGGATCACCATTCACCGATATAGAGTTCCATGATTAAGAATGCACGGAGCCATACCTCCATTTTCAATACGCCTTCATGGCATGGTGCTTTGTGAAGCACAGAGACAAATTTAAGTCTGCGGTGACCGGACGCTGAACTACATCTCTCAGTTTCAATCTGTAGGAACATCTGCTCACCGTAACGGGTGCGCCTCACAGACAGTTTCCCCAGACATAATCTCGGGCTTAACTCCCTGTCTGCCCCGGCAACCTCCACGCTGTCACTATCTGCATGACGTCACTCTGACGCAAGAGATAAACGCGTCGCCATGGCAATACGAACAGCGCCAGGTGGTACTGATAAAGGGCACGATTTATTGTACACAACGCCCGCAATCTTATATTAAATTAAAACTTCTGCTAACCCAGCAAACTCTCGCTAGTCCGGTTACAGTTAATCCCGATCGAAATGCGAAAAATCCTGTTCACAGTTAGGTAAATGCTTTAAAATGACACATGGCATTTAGGAAGGCAGATGTGTTACTTGTCTGTTCAGACAAAACTTGACGGTTTCTGCAAACCTGCGTTATTACGTTCAAAAACAAGCACCACTTGAGTCTTCTGTCGGTGAATAAATGTATTGCCTTTTTGTGGTTTTTAAATAAGGACTTCACAGTGATATTTTGCTATTTACTTTCATCAGCACTATTACCATTTATTTGTGTTCTAAGTTTTCTGCCTTTTGGGGCCAACTTTTGCTTCACTAATTCGGATTACCGAGGGTTTACTCTAATTAGGACTGCACTGATCACGTGGGAGGACCCGAGGAGAGAGCTCGATCTTCAGAGGAAGCAGGATCCATTTTAAAGTCTGTCACATCCCAGAAGATGGCACAATCTTCACAGGCACCGCCATGATAACCTCAAATCCAGGATTCTTATATCCACGGTTTACTTATCGGCGCTGTCATGAACTCGACCACAAAGCGTCGAATGGCTGAATGATTACTGAATAATGAATGAGAAGGGATGTGAGAGGAAACAGTCGTAGCATGACTTGAGGTACTACTCCCGCATTTTCCTGGTAGGACAGACAAAAACCACGACAGACATCAATCAAGATTGAGACCATCTTCAGGACGAGATGTGAACCCGGGAATCCCCAAAGCGTTCTGTGACAGACAATCTTCAAGCCGAGATGCGAACCCGGGAATCCCCCAAGCGTTCTGTAACGGACTACCTCCGAGCCGAAATGCGAACCCGGGAATCCCAGAAGCGTTCTGTAACGGACTACCTCCGAGCCGAGATGCGAACCCGGGAATTCCCGAAGCGTCCTATGACAGACCATCTTCAGGCCGAGATGTGAACCCGGGAATTCTCGAAGCGTTCTGTAACGGACTACCTCCGAGCCGAGATGCGAACCCGGGAATCCCCGAAGCGTTCTGTGCAGTTCTAGCCAACAGTGCGAAGGAGCAGTACTGACCTGTGTCAGCGCCGTCTGGTGAAGAGGACATCATAGCAGCGTCGCTGTCATCAGCTGTCACGTCGGGCTCTGAAAGCACAAGACAGCAGTTAGCGCAGTTCGTATGAGGGCCGTCTCCTGCCAAGTCCCAGCTCCGTTATCACACAGGTACTGATAACAGTGTCAGACGTAACATCTCTGCGCCCCTGAATGCCAGCAACAGGTTTCGCGCACGCGCTTTCATATTCTGCAGACAGATCGCTCTGGCAGTGTTCAGCAGACCCCGGCCTTTGATTCCTGCGGTTACTGCATTTCTGATATAGCGCTAGTGTAGCAAACCGTGCGAGGAAGACACACTTGGGAGACCTAAGCGTAGATGGGTGGGTGGTATGAAAGTGTGTACTGGAATCATCCGGTTCAGGATGGAATCCAGTTGTGAGCTGCTGTGAATTCCATAAAGGGCGGGGAATTCCCTGGCTTTCTACGCGACTGTTAGCTTCTCAAGCGGGAATTAGTCTTGACGATAGTAACCACGCGGAATGCTCGCTTGACTACTGCCGTGTCTAGAAATATTTTCCCGGGATATTACCAGTACCGTCCACCAGTGGTGCCAACAAACTACGAGAAACCCTCGCCAATCCGGTTACAGTCTGGATGTCGGATAATCCGGATCGAAATATGAAAAATTCTGTTCACAGCTGAGCACATGCTTTAAAAGACACATTGCGTTTAGGGAGACATATGAGTCACTTGTCTGTTCAGACAAAACTTGACGGTTTCTTCAAACCTTCATCATTACGTTCAAAAAACAAGTACAACTTCTGAGTCTTCTAGCGGTGAATAAATGTACTGTCGTTTTGTAGTTTCTAAATAAAGGCTCTACGGTGATGTTTTGTTATTTATTTTCATCAGCACTGCTTATATCATTAAATTCACAATTTATTTGTTTTCTAAGTTTTTCTGTCTTTTACGACTAACTGTTGCTTCATTAATCCGGATGACCTCCCCCGCCCCAAGTATTCCGGATTAGCGCGGGTTTGCTGTACCATTAAACTTCCTCTCTTTTGACTGAACCGTTACGTATTGTGACCTTGTGGCACGCGAAGTGCGTTGCCAACGTTTGGAAGGAACGCACAGGCCTCATCTCCAGGCAGAACTCATAACCCAGAAAACAAAACAGATCTTCAGCATCACAAAAGCCTCCTCGACTCTTACAAATGAAATAAACTTGTCCCCGTGCTTAACTAAGCAGATAAAGGGAAGTGGCGGTATAGCTCCGCGCATTCCTAATCTCGTCACTAGATGAAAGTAAGTTGTGAGCTTGACACCCCGCCTGCTTTACCTCCGGAAGAAAGGTCCCCAATACCTCTGGATAGGACGTTGGGTGCGCCCCAGAGCCGGTCCCAGAGTCGAACTCCGACCTTCCGGTCACCCAGACTGCAACATAGTCACTATAGTGACTGAGCTAAGCCGGGTTTGTTAAAACTCGATGCATTTAAGCAGAGCCTGGCTCTGATCGCTGTGTTGCCAGTACAGACGGCTGCAATCCCACTTGCGCTGTGCGGGTGACATCAGCGTCCTCGGGACAGGCAGGCATTTTCGCACGTGTGTAAACATTTGCAGGTAAGAGAACAGCTGCGCCGCATTCATGACGCCAGTTTGCACGGTGAGCGGTGGTGAGCCAGCGCACAGACGTGGAAACGTCGTGAAGCAGTGACCTCCACGCCGTCGTCGTCGCTTCCTGCCCACAATTCGATTTACTGCCCTCTTTGCCCTTCTGCTTCTTCTTCATTCTCTCCTTCTCCTTCCTTCTCATTCCCTTCTCCCTTTTCTCGTCTTGTCCTCCTCCTCAACTTACCCCTCTTTCTTCCCCTTATCTTCTTGTCCTCTTTCTCTCTTACTCTCTCGTTCCTCCTCTCTTCCTGTCCTTCTCCTATTCCTCCCGTTTCCTCAGTTTCTTCATGCCTCCCCCCCCCGAACCGGTGACACGGAACCGCGGAACCGACAGTTCCACTTCCTGTGACGACTCCTCAGACCTCTCCTTACACACAAAGGCGAGTGCCTCGCGTCTAACAGAATTCCTAGAAACTAACAAAGTCGCTCCAACAATCCACGCCACGCTGACAGTGGCACATCTGTCCTTACAATAACACATCCACTGTCCAACGTGATCTTTTCCCATGACACTTCGTGCTACATGTCACGCCTATCTGAACTAGCAAAACTGTCTCTTGTGTTCAGGCACCGCAGCATGAAGACGGACCCACTCTTCAACCTCGTCATTACTGATGCAGGTGAGTGTATGGCGTCACGCTCCGTCCGCATAACACCCGTGAACAGACTACAATACCTATTGTTAGGCAAACTGGTTTAGCTCTGGAGTCGGTCAGCGCAGGGCACAGAACAAACACAACGGCCGCTATCGAGACACGAACCCGACCCCACCGTGTTACTGAACTCTTCTCCTGACGAAATTATCTCCATTCACCCAAACGGTGTCCCCACCTGTCTGACAAGACACGCTGAAGCTGGTTCTATGGACGCCGAAACCTACAAAATATGAGATGGGAGGGGCATATAGAGCGCACAATAAGAAAACTGCCTACATAGTTCTTGTCTGAAAATCTGAAGACAAAGCGCATAAATGGGAGGATATTATTAAAATGAATCTACGTCGGCATAGCTCAGCGGAATAGCGACTACGCTAAAGGGTGGGTGACCGAGGAACCGGTATTCGATCCCCGGTATGGACAAGAGGTTGTCTCTTCGCCACAGAGTCCAACCCACCCTCCTACCCAATCGGTACCAAAGGTAAAAGGCCGGGGAGTGAACTTGACCACTAACATCCACAGTCTTAAGAATTGGTGGACCTATTCCTCCACTCCCTCACACGTCTCCATGGCGTGCAGCTTAAATAAGCACATATAAAACGTTACTTCTGACTTAAATAAAACAAGGTGAAAGGGTAAAAAAAGTAAAGCTATCCCTGTACCAGGCCGTGAAGGCCCAGAGGGTTGTGAGACGTTGAGGGTCCCACATTATCTAGACAATCGGCTCAAAGATGGCGGTAAGGTTGTCAGCCAGGAGTTGAATTCATCTGGCTCGGGATAGGGGCCAGTTATAGGCTCTTGTGAATACGGTAATGAACAGTTCCACCTTCTGTAACATAACGTCGAGCTCTGCTTGTAACCCGCTTGGCTCATTTTTTCGAGTCTGAAGATGGAGGCGACATGTTCCTCCGAAACGTCGGTTGAGTTTCAACGGACAATACGGTGTTATATTCCAGAAGACAGGACTCTTCATAGGCACCGCTACAAGGACCTCATATCCTACAGGATAATGAGTCCTCGAATTCCATAAACGGCTGGCAACTGTCAGCTTCTCAAGAAGGTTGCTCCAGCCCTCAGGGACACACGGACACTGTGGCACTTGTGGTGACCTTTTCAACAGTGTCCCGGTTACGACCGCTTCGCCCCCATGGGGCGTAGCTCTCCCGGTGTTGGCTGGAAGTGCACAGTCAGTGCCGCCTGCATCCAGAAGGGTTCCGAGGGATCCTGACGAGATGGCATCGCCTCTAGATCCGGACACAGTCAGTTCATTATATCGCCGAATTGTAGGAAAGTTGCAAAGCATGTGGAAGGAAGCGGTCGGGGCCTACTTTCTGGCACTATATTGACTTTGCCTCGATAACTCTAGTAAAGAAATCTGCAAACCTCAGTTACCATACACGGTCTCTCGGCTGAGATTCGAACCCGAGCCTCCCGAATATGGAACAAGAGTGACAACCACTCGACCGTGTTATAAGGTGCCTGCGACAAAAGCTTCAAGATCCGGCCGTTTCACTCCAAGAAGCAAACAGTATAGGCGCCAAGATGCGGACAACCGACAACCCTGAGGTGTCACGTTACTCCTATTATGAAAAACAATGTAATCTTGCAATCCTCGTGTTGGGGAGACGGACGGACACACAGTGGAGTCTTAGCATGACCTGCACATTGAGCGCTTTTACCGCGCGGAACAGTGTCACGGCGCTCCCACGACAAGCGCGTCCGATCATGTGACGAGCTGTTTGCAGACGCTGTCAACAGCGCTCAGCTGCTGCAAGAGTCGCCAGCAACTCTCTCCACATCGCCAAGGCTTGCGGTGACCAAAGTCAAAGTCACATTGCCACTGACGGTCAGTCAGTCAGTCAGTCAGTCAGTCAGTCAGTAAGTCTTGGTATCGAGACCCACCTGGGGCTCATGACCAGATATTTATTGCTGTCTGACAGTTACAGCCTTGTTTCTGGGGGGCGTTCTCTCTGACGAGAGGACGGGTCTGTCTTTTCTTTAAGCGGCTGGCCCTTGTCAACGCAGTCTTTCTCGGGTCCCAGTCCTTTGGGACTCGCGACCATATTTTACTGTCTCAGATTCGAGACTTTTCGTCGTCTCCTACGAGACGCAGGGTCACGGTGGAGGTATTCGACCCCGCCTCCACACGGGGGATTACGGTGACCGGACGTCTAAACAATATACAGCAACTGAGTCTGTACCTCACAGGAAAGGCATTACGTCACCACTATAAAGCCCAACCGGTTCCTGCTGTTTAGGGAAACAGTCGCTGTTTGCTGTGAGAACCATACGGAACACACAGATACACTGTGTGGGCAGAATGCACAGTTTCAGCGTGTTCAGTCCGTACCTCACAGGAAACATTACGTCACCACTACAGAACCCAACCGGTTACTGATGTTTGGGGAAACAGTCGCCGTTTGCTGTGAGAACCATACGGAACATAGATACACTGTGTGGGCAGAATGCAGAGTTTTTAATGATAAAACTGGTGGCAAATATAGTTACCAACTACCAAACTCTATGAAGAAGAATCTTAGCTCAGAAGCTAACGGTTGCTTACCTAGTGAACAAATTCAGATCATTTTCTGAAACCCCAATGTTCATTGCCGTGTTCATAGCAGCCCGCCGTTTAACCCCATCATGAGCCAGATAAATTCAGTCTATTCAACACACGCTTGAATATTATCTCAACCACCTATGACTAGTCTATCAAAATAGTTTCTTTCCTCGCAGGTTTACGTACCAAAAGTTCATGCG